TTGCATGGCTTATGAAGATATAGTAGCAAGAGATTTGGGTTTTCAATGGGAGATGTTGGTGGAGAAACAATTGTGGGAGAAGGCATGAAGTGATATAAACCATCACTGACTGCCCGCTTCAATAAATTTCACGGAGGTCAGGTCCCATAGAGCACAAAAGGTCGGAAAAAAAGGCACACATTTCATATCAATTATGAGTTTACTAATAGAGATGAAATTGCATTGGAAATTTGGAATGAATAAGGTGTTATTCAAAATCAAACTAGGTATAAGGGGAACATCTCCTTGGCACTGTATTGGTAACAGGTTGCCATTTGACAACTATACTGGCTGAGCAATGGTATGTTCTGTCATTGGGGGGATACAGGGGATTGTTCCAAGAGGAACCATGTGATCTGAGGCTCCTGTAATTAATATCCATTGAGAGAGAGAGAGAGAGAGAGAGAGAGAGTACTTACAAAGTTTGTTGATTCCCTTGGGTTGTTGCCATTAAGCAAATTCATGAGTTGGTGATACTATTCTACAGTCAAGCCATAAGTCTTCTGTTCTACCATCTGAGTAGTTGAATTTGATTTGAGACTTGGCTTGTCCTTATCAGTAGTCGATGGTTTTGTGGATTGCATTGTCTCCCAACCTGGTAAATAACCAACTAAGCATTTGTCTGTGCTATGATTAGGTTTCTTGCAATGATCACATCTGATCTTGGGATGATCTTTGACATTCTTATTGTTATTGGATTTAGATGCGACATGAAGGGTGGTTGCCTCCATGGTCAAACTCTGGCTTGCAACTAGTGCTTGATGTCTCTCATCTTGAGAAACTAGAGCATAGATTTTGTTCACTATAGGTAGGGGTTCCATGCTTAAAATGCTGGATCGAATGTTATTGAATCAATCACCGAGTCCTAGTAAGAATTGGTAGACTCTTTCTTTATCTTTTTCGGTTTGGAAATCCTGTGAACCACCGCACGAGTAGGGCAAGAGCATATCAAACCTGGTGTGTAAATTGATAACTCATCCTAGATTGCCTTCAATTTTGTGAAGTAAATGGAGATCAAAAGGTTTTCTTGCCATAGTAGTGTCAGTTCTCACTTCAGCTAGAAGAAACGAGGTGTGTTCCCTTGTGAAAGTTGTTCTTTGAGGTCTTTCTAGATTTCTTGCACGCTCTCAACATAAGCTACATTCTCGTGTAGTCCCTTTGCTAAGGCGTTGTAAATCCAAGACACGACCTTTGAATTGCATTTCATCCAAGCATGCAATTCTACTGGTTTCGTCAAACTTGGCTTCTTGATTGTGTCGTCGATGAACCCTATCTTATTCTTTGCCCATAGTGCATTCACGATGGTTCTCGTCCAAGTGGCATAATTTTCACCATCCAGAGAGCATAAAACGAGCACCGTTCCCAGATTGTCAAATTTGCTCAAGAAATACGGTGACACTGGATTTGTGTAGGCTAGATCTCCACCACCTATCATGGTTGTCGTCGTCATCTTTGATGGAAGAAACAAGAACAAGATTTCAAAAACCGTTCAATGAATGAAGAATGAAAGCCTAAGGCTTTGATACCATATAAGAAATGTATGATTCAAAGAAGAGAAAAAGGTAATTGTATTACATTCTCATTAGTTATTTATAGATAGAAGGAGATAGAGCTTAACTGATTTAATTCACTTGTACAAGACAATTGTACACTATACACATGGATATATAGGTGTAATAGTCTAATTGATTTCAATTATTTGTAATAACTTATTTACTAAATGAAGTTTCAGCCATAGCTTTGACCCTAGGGACATGGTGTCATACTTTAATTACGATGTCCTAAGTAGATGATGCTATGTTGCCTGAAGAAAGACATGAAAAAGTCATAGGAAGTTTACGTAAAACTGGTCCAAAACTTCCTCCATCGCAATTTATATTCATTTCATTCAGGGTTAATTGTTGAAACCTCCCCTAAAGTTTCTCACCATTTCTAAAACCTCTCCTCAAGTTTGGTTATTACAATCACCTCCCTTGAGGCTGATTTCTAAAGTTTCTCACAAAATATCCAAAATACCCATATAGTTACTATTGAGGCTGATTTCTATAGTAAAACGATACAAGCTTTTGGAACAACAAAAAAAGAGAGTTTAAAGTTGTAGTTTTACCTTTGAGCGGTAAGCGAAAATTCAAAAAATAAATCAATTTTCGAAAATAGAATAGAAGGGCTTGGGACATCGGTTAATATGAAGAGAAAATTTGAAAAATAGATATTTTGGTCAAAGTAACTATAGGGGTATTTTGGACATTTTCATGCCTTTTGTTAAAGGATTCTAACATAGGGGTCTACTTGCAACTGTGTCAAAAAGTTCGAGGTGATTGCAATTACCAAATTTCGGGAGAGGTTTCAGCAAATGGTTCAAAACTTCAAGGGAGGTGTTAGCAATTTACCCATTCATTTATCATCTATTCTCTAACACGCTCCCCCCTCGCCCCCCCCAAAAAAAAAAAAAAAGAATCTCATTAGGCTTGAAGAGTGGACAAGTACATGCCCATTATAATGGGGGTAACAAGGGTCAAACACTAGACGAATTGGCCAAGCAAGCTTTGATACCAATCTCAATGAATCCTTCAACCTAAAAGCCTAAGCTGTTAGGTAAGATCCTTGAATAGGTTTTTATTCTCTAACAAATATGATATCTTCTTTTATAATTCAAATTCCCCAAAACCCAAGCAAAGCCTGAAGAGAAGGCCACGAAGTCCACATATTGGCAGTCAAACAAAGTTACCCCTATATAAGGAATAAGCACTGGCCTTGATTGCAGGAAAAATGGCATTTCTCGAGGCTGAAGGAGAAAAGAATGTCATTGAAGCTTCTGGGAGAGGGGCACCATATGTGAAAGGATCACTTCACTTCTGTAGTCGCTTTAATCTGGCAGGGAGATGGAGCCAATGGACCAGTTGTTGTCCTGTGGACGAGAATTGTGGGAGCAATGAAGAACTCTGCAGAGAAAAAAAAGGTAGTCCAATTCAATTTTTGAACTTGATCACGCAGAGCTGAGCCTAGACAAAGGTTTCAATCCAACACATGGTAGGGATGCAATATACTTTCCTAGCAATCCAAATATCCAATCAATTTTACATGGGAGACTAGTCTTTCCCCACAGCAAGATCAAAGACTGGACTAGACAATACTCTATTATTCTGTCCTGAGGAACAGCTTTGACTCGCCTTGAGTAAAACAACATCAAAGAAGATTGCTCGAGCTAAGGGTGTCAATAAACCAGTTTTGGGTTAGACCCCGTCCAAATCAAAATGATGGGGTGGACATACTAATAAGATATATTGAATTAAACTAGTCTAGACTTAATGGACCAAAGTATTTTATTGGATTGGATTGTACCTGATCCATCCGTAATGGGTTTATATTGGATTGGATTGGATTGGATTGAACCCATATCCAGTCCATTGATAGAAGATAGGAATACTGGTGTCAATGGACCAGGTTTGGTTTAGAACCAGTTTGAACAGATTGAATGATCCAAAATGGTCCAAAGTATTCATTAAATTGAATTGGACCTGATCCATCTGTAATGGATCTATATTGGACCGGATTGGATTGAACCAAATGCAGTCCAATTGACACCCCTACCTAGAGCCGGAGGATGTCTAAAAACTGAAAGTACAGCCTGTGACAATAAATTTCAGTTACAAAATACAAATAGTCATTTGTTGTTGTAGTCTTTGATTTCAAATTCTAGAATCTATCTCTGGTCATGAGGCTTATTTTGCAAACTAGAAAACGAAGCTATTAAAAAAGAATCTGGAAACAGGTTGGCATTTAAGTAGGGCTTGCTTTTTATCTGTTTCGCTTACCTTTCACTTACGTAATATGTGAAACCCACTCTTGAAAATGAAATCAGAGTACCAAAAAAAAACATTAATTACAAGGGACCCTTTTCTTGAGAAAACTATCTAACGAAATAACCACATTATCAAACTCCAGCTAAGTGAACCACTCCTACTACTAAGGGTCCATTTGGTTCACGGGAATAGGGATTTGGAATCGCATTCATTTCAATTCTAACTATTTTGTTGAGCGGAGTCAAAACCTAATTCCCATTCCTGGTGGAATGGCATTCTTCCAGCTGAGGGAATGGCCATTTCCTCCTCCTCCTCCTCCCTTAGGAATGAGAATCCATTCCAACCAATTCTGATTCCAATTTCAGTTCCATCTTGAACCAAACAGGGGGAGGATTAAACCATTCCGATTTCAGAGGACTTTGATTTCAATTCTGATTGTGAAACAAACAGACCCTAACTTCTTTTGATGCTAATAAAACCTTTATTTAACATCTAAATTTCCCTATGACTCACTTTCTTTTCTATAAAATAAAAGGGTAAGCAAATTTCAATCCATAGAGTTTTAAGTTATATTTTTGACCCTTTTTACACCCAAAACTTTGTTCTCTTCCCCTTTAAAAAAATGAAACAATCGCAGCCAATGGAAACAGAATCTGTTACTGAATTTTAATAACAAATAAGTAGGTGGAGGCATCACCTTACAAGTTACAACAGGGAGGTTTGGCAACTGTAGATGCTCGTAAGGTGGTAGAGTCAAATATCCTGTCTAGCTATGAAGCTATGTATCATGGAGCTTGTGGGCGATATCTCTGCTTTGAAAGAGTGATACGAAGATTTAGGTGAAGTCATCCATATTGAAGATGCATGACCAAAATTGTTAGGAGGAAAAAATTAATGGAGAACCACAAAAATTATATGCATATTATATGACATATCATATGAAAAATATATAAATGATATTTTATACATTAAATACATAAATACATAGGCGTGGAACTTGAGACGGGCCCAGGCTATGGCCCTTATCATAGGCCCATGATCACCCTTAAATGAGAGGATAAGAATAAAATAAAAGAGCAAGCTTGAGTTGAAAGAAACCCACCTCCACGAGGCTTCTAAAATGAAGAGTAGAGTCCAGTTTTAAAAGAGAAAAAACTTACCTGTCTCTCCAAAGGCAAGGCCTTTGCTTGTTTGCATCACACAGATGTCAAATGTATAAAAAAAAATTGTATTTTGTTTAACAGAATCCTTACAGAAGTAGTCTATTTTGATAGTTTATGAGGAGGATTATTGATATGATAGCCCTTGTTAGAAGTTAAAGCAAATATATATATTGGTCCGTTAAGTTGATTGTTTTGTTGCTTCACCCTATCTAATTCCTCTCAAGAGGAGAAGGGACTAATTTCTTTACAAGAAATGATTTCTATTACCATTCATCTCCACCCTTTTGTCTCCTCCAGCTTCAGCCACCTTTCAGTGCCATGGAGGATGCAGACATCTTGGCTGCAGACTGCGTCGTCATATGTTGCTGTTGCCCTTGCTTGATCATTCAGCTCATCGTCTTTGTCTTGCTCAAACTTCCCTACAAATTGGCCCAGAAGTCCCAGAGATTCGCCCGGAGAAAACTTGGCAAGACAAAGTGGAGAAAGAAGATAACAGGAGGAGATCCATACAGACAGGTGCTGAGGAGAATTGTTGAAGCAAATTCTTCAAGCATTCAAGTAATGGGGGTTCCCGTTCCTCTCAACCACCATCACCGTCAGCATGGTTGTGGGTGCTCCATGGCAGAGATTGACAAGGTTTTTGAGGAATTATCCCTACAGGGAGAGTTTGGTTTTGGGAGCTTTTGGGGGAGGAAGCAGGAATCAGGAAACTTCTCCCCAAAGTTAGGCCAGGACCAAGACCAGAAGGAATATGAAAATGTTGTACGCTATCATTTCATTCAAGTTATAAACCCTTTAAAGTATTTATCATAATCCAGTAATGTTGTATATGAGAATATTTTATTTATGAGATTTATTTGCTTTGTCTATTTATATTTATTTTTTGTTTGTTAAATAATGGGGCCCCCATCACCAGATGGAGCCCATGATAGAGTTTGGAGGAGTGAGCCCACACATTCCACTGCTGGCGCTGAGTCCATTCATCTTTTCTTCGTAGATGGGCCCATTTGGTAAGGGCCCAATTGATGGTGGGTCTGTTCACTTCTAGTTCTAGTCCACACAACTGCTGGGTGCTGGCAAGTGGCAGCACTAAAGTCGCAATTTTACGGCCTGCTGAGTGCTGAGCCCGGGTGTTGAGTAGTCAAAATGCCTCAATGGCCTCAGGCCGATCTGGTATTTCTACGGCTACTGCATTAAACAACACCAACCGTTCACCGCTGTAGATTTATTCCTCAAATTCAAAAGATGCTTCTAGATACATCTCGATGTTTCTCCTCCTTGGATGGATCATTTGGACTAGATAGAGAATATCTTCCAAAGCACGAAGAAACGAAGAAAGCCGATCGTCAGAGGCCTTTCCTCTTTCTGAAACTTGCGCGGTACATTAGACAAAGCACACACACTCACAGAGAGAGAGAGCGCGAGAGAGAGCCAAGACCGGACACCGGAGACGGACCAGCAATCAAAGAGCAATGGGGGAAGATCCACAACGCTTAAAGAGGATTGCAGCGGCCTCATACGACTACGAGAACGACCCGCGATGGGCAGATTACTGGTCGAACATCCTCATTCCTCCTCACATGGCAGCTCGGTCCGACGTTGTCGATCACTTCAAGCGCAAGTTCTACCAGCGTTACATGGTTAGTACAACAATCCATCTCCCTTCTTTTCTCTTTCCTCTGGTCTTTGTTCTTCTGGATTTGTTTGCTTTCCATGGAATTAGAACTCAAGACCATTCATTTCATTTGGGATTTTTCGATAGTACCTACAACGTTTTGTTTGGACTTCTATAAATCGGCTTTTTGATTAGATTTTTACTCAAATTTTGGGATTTTTAGCAGATTCTTACTATTGTTATTATTTAATTATTCTCTTCCTCCAAAATTCCAAATAAATTGCCGATTGTTCTCTCTATGTAGAGGAACTTCATGTGCTTTTCATGTATTTTGCCTTTTTAACTCTCGAATTTGCACTTAATGGTATTTCATTGGCATTGTAAATCGAGTACTGCAAGTATTGGATGGCCCACGCATCTCATTTGATTGTTGCAGTTGGTACATTGCTTTTGGACCTCTGTAGACTTGAAATTTGATGGATTTCTCTTCAGATTGTGTAACACTTTGATTGTTAAGATTGCTGCTCTTACTTTAGAGAATTCATGGTAAAGTTGGGGCATTATTTTTTGCTAACCATCGGCTTGGTATTTGCCTTTAAAAGGTCCAAAGCAGGAGGAGATTTACATTGGATGTATTAAAACACATGAGAGTTTGACTATTGATGCAGAGTTGAAATTCTATTTCTAAACTTGGGAATGCTTACAAGATTAAGATTGGATTTTTATGCATTATAATGTGTAAAACATCTCTAGTTAGAGACTTTTCGAGAAGTTAATAATGAATAAAAAAAGTTTCAATCTCTTTTTATTTTGATTCGTATTATGAATTTGCAAATTCATGTATGAACAGAAGGTATTCTAACTTCTAACTAGACAGTAATTCTTTTTCTATTTGTTTTTTTTTTTTAACATGAGCAGGACCCTGATCTTGTGGTTGAGTCAATGTCTTCAAGTATCTCATCTCAGTCAGCAAGACCATCTGCTCAATCTTCAACCTCATCTTCAAATGAACGACCACGGAGCTCAGGTAGACATGCATTATAATATCTATTGAGGCTCTGTTTCTACTCTAAATTTAAGAAGGGAAATTTCATAATGAACTATTCCAGAAGAAGATATCAATAGCACTTTCCTCTTTTACTTTTCATTTCAACTTTTTGTTTTTTTTTTTTTTTCCAGTCTAACCCAAAGTTTTGGTGTAGGGGCAACTGCCAGAACATCAGGGGCATCATCAACACCAAATGCAAATCCAACTTCTATGCGCTGGGACCGGCAAACAATACAATTTTCAGTCAATGCTTGGGTACAAAAAGTGACAGTTTTACATGTGCATGCACAGTTGCACAAACAAGCATAATCAAATTTACACCCATGCATGATTTCATACCTGAGCTTCCATATATAAAACTGTAACCAAACTGATCTATTTCTCTATTGGTTGATTTGTAATATGTATTCATGTGAAGTTGCATCCGTCAATAAGCATTTTTTTTTTTCTGTGCCTTGTCCTGCTTGGAGTTTTGGTTGTATCAAGAATATCTATAAATTAATGAATTTTGTCAAATTCAAATAGAATTGTCACTTTCAAATAATTTGTTCCTCTGAGATGGTCTGGGCATGGTCATTTAAGGCAACCTACTTCACCAGTGAGGAGTAGTGATTTGGTGCAAATTGAAGGTTGTAAAAGAGATAAAAGAAAACTGAAATGTACATGAGTTCAGGACAGATTTGATGATTCCCAATTTAATGTGGGATACAGCCCTTGGTAGAGTGCAATTGTGAAACAGGATTTCTGCAACAAGGGATAAGACTTTTTCATGTTGGGTTGAGCATTTGTTTCTGAAGTCAAAAGTTGTGTTCATGCTCTGTAATCTGAAGAGAGTGAGAGTCGTAGAAATGTGGTCATGATGTATGAACTATGAACTAGATGATTAGCATTCAAAGCAGCCAAGAAGGAAATTAGAATAGTAAATTTCATGTTTTCTTCTTCTGACAATGAAAATACAAAATTTAGTTTTATCTGGGCACAGTATGCGCTTTTTTTTTCCCTTTTTGTGTTAACTAAAATTTTGAAGGCTGAAGAGAGTATGAGTTTGGTGGAATGTTGCAAAGGGCACAAACTTATGGATATGGATGCGGCTTTAATGCAGTTATACAGAAGTAGTAGTATCATGAGAAAACTTAATAATTAGGTAAGAGTAGTGTGGATTAATTAGGATGCATTATGAGAAAGATGTTGAAAAATATGTCCTGCAATAGGTACGGTTGGACATGATGATGAAGAAGTAGTACCTTGTGAAGTTTTAATCATTAGGCACAATAGTATGGTACCTTGTGGAGATGTTGTAAATCAATTACCTTGTTCTTTTTTTTTTTCTTTTTTTGATAGGGATAGATTGTTTATACTTGAATATATTATTACAAGGACACTGATAAAAAAAAAAAATATTACAAGGACTGTTGGTATTCCCACTGTACAGGTCCTCAGTATGCATGGGTTTTCTCCTTTCAGCCTGGCCTTTCAACTGTGGTCTGGCTGCTATAAATTGCTGATGCATCTTATAAAGAGAAATTGCTAGATATCTTAATGCAATTAGGAGGATCATTGGGTTTGTCTTCTGCTGCAGATTGTCTTCCTTTTTATAAATCTTAAATGATGTTATCACATACACAACAAGACTCTATATAAAGGAATCACTTTTCAGCTTACAAAAAAGCAAAAAAGAAAGAGACAATGTATTATTGCTGTAGTGAAGTGTTAAAAATTTATATAATGGAATGTTTTCAGAATCATGACCTGTCAGAAATGTAAACATTGTTTACTTTGGTACCCATCAAAATGATGATTTTTGGGATTTGGCTGTCTGCTGGAACTTTGAAACTGTTCACAAGTGAAGCATTGTTTTTGAATGGGATTAGGTAGTTAGGTTGAAGAGTACAGAATGAGAAAATGAGAGTCGAGTTTAGGATAAATTGGTTTAGTTAAATGAAGAATAGCACTATAGCAGAGGGAAGCAAAGCTATTCTTTTATTATCTTTTTTTGGTAACCATAAAGAGTATACTTCAATTTCAACAGAATATCTAAATATTCTTTTGAGTTTTTTTCCCTTTTTAGTCATCACTGTTTTGAAGACGACTTATTGACCCTCTAGAGGACTAATAAAGGAAACTAGTTTAGGCAGCTGATTTTTATTCTGGATTTTTTAACCATCTCCATTTTGATAGCAATTGTGGGTTTATAATGCAAGTAATGCATGCTATTATTACTGACTATGATACCCAAATACCTGTTCATGCCCAGTATACTAGTGTCAAACATGATATATACCCGGCATCACACTGGATACTGCACTGAAGCTTGTATATTATACTTTACTGTATTATCACTTTAATACATGTAAAATGGTATGTTTTAACAATCATACTACAAATAAACTGATAAAAAAATATTATATGAAAAAAATCTGTTTATGTTGGTAGTTTAATTAAATTTGGCAAGTTATAGTTATTGAGAAATGAAAGCTTCACAAACTAGATATATTAAATGGGATACTTTCATGCATATCCAAGTTTGAGATCTTGGAAAATGGAGTATTGTATCCCCTATTCCTGTATCCATGTCATTGTCAGTATTTGTATGTGGGCTTTGTAGCTTGTTGGTATATGCTTACATTGCTTTGCTAACAACTGTCTTTTCCATTTTTCTAATTGTTACATGTGCTTGTTCTGCAGGTTTTTATTGTTGGTCTGCTTGCCATCCTTCCAATTATATCTAGAAACCTCTCCAATAGAGCATATCGTTTGTCCTTTGTGGGCACTGCCTGTTCCTCTTTGTATTCCTTGTACTCATTATACGGGGTAATTTTTGCTATTGAAATCATTTTTATCCAATTTGAAATAATGTTTTTTGATGAATACCAACTTGAGTTAATCATTTATTTCTTGTTTTCAGAAACCTAGGGCATGGAATCTGCAAGCTGTCCAAGTATGGTTTCAATCAGTAATTGCGACCAAGGATTTTATCTATTTCCTATACTGTCTTATGTTTGTAACGTCTCATCTCCAAACCAAATGTGAGCATTATTTTACCAAACTATTTCAATATATTTTTTTTGTTCAATGCATTTTAGTATGAATCTGGGTTTTTACGTAGGATTTTCTAATATTGAGCTTTATGGCAGTTGCTTTGATACCTGTACTTTGCCGAGCTCTTGAACATGTTGCAAAGTTCTTAAGGCGCAATTTTAGTCGTTCCTCTTTGTACAGGTAAAAGAATAATAAGCAACCAGACCTATTAAAAAGACTTTATTCTTTAATTGGTAGTTACTAACTATATAGATTTTTTTTTTTGTGAAAAAAGGTATTGTATTAATATGAATATAACTGTAGAACATAACAACTATCAGTCCACAGAACGCTCCATGTACAGCCAGTAACTATACAGAAAAG